GTACAATTATAACAATTAAAAGGCATCTGAGTATATGAATAGGAAGGGTTTAGAGGGTGATAGGCCAAATGCTGGCAAATGGGACAACATATGGAATATCTGGTCGGCATGTACGAGTTGGACCGAAGGGTCTGTTTCCATGCACAGAATTCCAATGGTGTACTAAATTTTCAGTATTATGGGATGTCCCTGCTCCCAAATGCTCACATGAAACGTACTGACTGCTTCATTCTGAGTGACAAAATAAATTCCATGGGTTCCTACGTTTGTTGGAGGTGAGGATGGAAGAGATGGACAGCCTTTCAAAATAAATTAGTCTGCTAGAGATAAGGTAAGGATTCAATGCACAATAGTTTTAACAAAAGCTGACATATCATTTTTCTCCCAAAAAGGTAACCAGAAATCTGGTCTTTACAAACATGATCAGAAACAGGCCCAGATAACATGGCTTGGATACAGTGAATAGGAGCATCAAAAAAAAACAATTCCTACAGATTCCTGGGAACGCATGGTGATTAACCAGTCCTGATCAACCAGGAAATCCCTTTTCACACAGCACAGGTGGATTGTCTTCACCCAGTGTGAATGTGTTGATGTACAGCAATAACGTGATCATTGTCAAAACCTAACCTACAGTTACACAATTGTTATTAAGATTAAAGAGGTAGGACTGATAAATTTACACTGCATTTATTTTAATGCAAGACACCTAACAGGTAACGTAGATGAACTCAGCATGGTTGGGAACATGGGATTGGGATATCAATTACAATAGCAATTACAGAGACATGGCTCAGGGATGAACAGGACTGGCAGCTTAATGTTCCAGTGTATAGATCCTACAGGAAGGATGGGTGGGGGTGTGGTAGGCAAAAGAAGAAGGGGAGTGGCATTTTAGATTAGGGATAAGTTGTACTTAGGCAGGATAAGTGTGAACATGTCCAGGGAAGTTATTTGGGTGGAACTGAGAAATGAGAAAGGGATAATCACCTTTTTGGGATTGTACCATAGACCCCTCCAATAGTCAGCCAGAAAATGAGAAACAAATTTGTAAGGAGACCTCAGTTATCTGTAAGAATAATGGGGCGGTTATGGTAGAGGATTTTAACTTTCCAAACAGAGACTGGGACTGCCCTGGTGTTAAAGGCTTGGATGGAGAGGAATTTAAGAGTGTAGAAGAAAATCCTGATTCAGTCTGTGGATGTACCTACTAGAGAAGGTGCAAAACTTGACCTACTCTTGGGAAATGAGGCAGAACAGGTTACTGGGGTGTCAGTAGGGGAGCACTTTGGGGCCAGTGACCATAATTCTATTGGTTTTAAAACAGTGATGGAAAAGGATAGGCCTAAAAGGTAAAGTTCTAAATTGGAGGAAGGCCAATTTTAACGGTATTAGGCAAGAACTTTCAAAAGTTGATTGGGGGGTGGATGTTTGCAGGTAAAGAGAAGTCTGGAAAATGGGATGCCTTCAAAAATGAAACAACAAGAGTTCAGGGACAGTATGTTCCTGTTAGGGTGAAGGGCAAGGCTGGTAAGTGTAGGGAATACTGGCTGACTAGAGAAATTGAGGTTTGGGTCAAGAAAAAGAAGGAAGCGTATGTCAGGTATAGACAGCAGAGATCAAGTGAATCCTTAGAAGACTACAAAGGCAGCAGGAGTATACTTAAGAGGGAAATTAGGAGGGCAAAAAGGGGACATGAGATAGTTTTGGTAAATAGCATTAAAGGAGATTCCAAAGGGAATTTATAAATACATTAAGGAAAAATGGGTAACTAGGGAGAGAATAGGGCCCCTTGAAGATCAGCAAAGCCGCCTATGTGTGGAACTGCACGAGATAGGGGAGATACTAATCAGCATTTGCTGTGGAAAAGTATATGGAAGATGTAGAGCATGGGAAATAAATAGCGACATCTTGAAAATTGTCCATATTACAGAGGTGATGGTGCTGGACAGCTTAAAATGCATAAAAGGTGAATAAATCCCCGGGACCAGATCAGGTGTACTTGAGAATTCTGTGGGAATCGAGGGGGGTGATTGCTGGGTCCCTTACTGAGATATTTGTATCATCAATAACCTCAGATGGGGTGCCGGAAGACTAGAAGTTAGCTAACATGGTCCACTCCTTTTTGTCATTTATAAAGGTGATTTGGATGTGAATGTAGGAGGTATGGTTATTAAGTTTACAGATGACGCTAAAATTGGAGGTGTCGTGGACACCGAAGGTTACCTCAGAGTATAACAGGATTTTGATCAGATGGGCCATTGGGCCGAGGAGTGACAGATGGAGTTAAATTTAAATAAATGTGAGTTGCTGTATTTTTGAAAGGCAAATCAGGACAGGACTTATACACTTAATGGTAAGGTCCTGGGGAGTGTTGCTGAACAAAATGACCTTGGAGTGCAGGTTCATAGTTCCTTGAAAGCGGAGTCGCAGGTAGATAAATAAGATAGTGAAGAAAGCATTTGGTATACGTGCCCTTTTTGGTCAGTGCATTGAGTATATGAGTTGGGAGGTCAGGCTGTACAGGACATTGTTTAGGCCACTTTTGGAGTTGTGTGTGCAATTCTGGTCTGCCTACTATAGGAAGGATGTTGTGAAACTTGAGAGAGTGCAGAAAAGATTTACAAGGATATTGCCAGGGTTGGAGGGTTTGAGGTATAGGGAGTGGCTAAATAGCCTGGGGCTATTTTTCCTGGAACATCGGAGGCTGAGGGGTGACCTTATAGAGGTTGATGAAATTGTGAGGGGTATGGATAGGTTTTTCCCCCGGGATGGGGGAGTCCAAAATTAGAGGGCATAGGTTTAAGGTGAAAGGAGAAAGATTTAAAAGGGACCTACAGCAGCAATATTTTTATGCAGAGGGTGATGCTTGTATGAAGTGAGCTGCCATAGGAATTGGTGGAGACTGGTACAATTACAACATTTAAAAGGCAACTGGATGTGTATATGAAGAGGAAGGGTTTAGAGGGATATGAACCAAATGGGACTGGATGTATCTAGGACATCTGGTCGAATGGACACGTTGGACTGAAGGGTTGGTTTCCATACTGCACAGCTCTATGACTCTATGACACTATTTTATCTACAACTTCAGCACCTTTAGAGCCATAGAGTTCCACAGCACAGAAACAGACTCTTTGGTCAAACTCATCCATGCCAACCAGATTTCCCAAATTAGACTAATCCCATTTGCTAGCGTTTGGCCCACATCCCTCTAATCCCTTCCTATTCATATACTCATTCAGATGCCTTTTAAATGTTATTATACCAGCTTCCACGCTTCCTCTGGCAGCTCATTCCATACACGCACCACCCTCTGCATGGATAAGTTGCCTTTTAGGTCCCTATTAACTCTTTCCCCTTTCATCTTAAACTATGTCCTCTTGTTTTGGACTCCACTACCCTGGTGAAAAGACCTTGGCTATTCACCCTGTCTGTGCCCCTCATGATTTCATAAACCTCTATAAGGTCACCCCTCAGCCTCTGACCCTCTAGAGAAAATAGCGCCAGCCTACTCAGCCTCTCCCTTTCGGTCAAACTCTCCAACTCTGGCAACATCCTTCTAAGTGTTTTCTGAACCCTTTCAAGTTTGACAACATCCTTTCTATAGCAGGGAAACCAGAATTGAACACAGTATTCCAAAAGCGGCCTAACCAATGTCCTTCACAGCCACAACATGAGATTCCAACTCATATACTCAATGCACTGACCAATAAAGGCAAGTGTATCAAACACCTCTTTCACCTCCCTGTCTAGCTGCGACTCCACTTTGCAAGAAGTATGAACCTCCTCCCCAAGGTCTCTTTATTCGGCAACACTCGCCAGGACCCCATCATTAAGTGTGTAAGGCCTGCCCTTATTTGCCTTTCTAAACTGCAATACCTCATACTTACCTAAATAAAACTCCACCTGCCACTCCTCAGCCCATCTGATCAAGGTCCTGTTCTACTCGGAGATAACTTTCCTCACTGTCTATGACACCACCAATTTTGGTGTTATCTGCAAACTTCGTAACCATTCCTCCAATATGGAAATATTTATATAAAATTAGGAATAGCAGTGGACCCAGTACCAAACCTTGTAGCACACCGCTGGTCACAGGTCTCCAGTTTGAAAAACAAACTTCCACCATCATTAGTCATCCTCTACCTTCAAGCCAATTTTGTATCCAAATAGCTAGCTCTCCCTGGATTCCATGTGATCTAACCTTGTTAATTCAGTGTGGATTCTTATCAAAAGCCTTAGTGAAATCCATATAGATAACATCCACCACTCTGCTGTCAATCTTCTTTGTCACTTCTTCAAAAAACTAAATCAGGTTAGTGAGATGTAATTTCCCACGCACTAAGCCATGTTGACTATCCCTAATCAGTTCTTGCCTTTCCAGACACATGCAAGTCCTGTGCCTCAGAATTCCCTCCAACAACTTACCCATAACTGATGTCAGGCTCATCAAAAGTTTCCTGGCTTTTCCTCACCACTTTCTTAAACAATGGCACCACATTAGCCAACCTCCAGTCTGCTGGCACCTCACCCGTGACAATCGATGACACAAGTCGTAGAATCATAGAATCCCTGCAGTGTGGAAGCAAGCCATTCGGCCCATTCAAGTCTACACTGACCCTCCAAAAAGCATCCCACCCAAACCCACTCTCTATCTTCTCCCTGCATTTCCCACCCTAGACACGATGGGCAATTTAGCAGAGCCAATTCACCTAACCTGCACATCTTTCGACTGTGGGAGGAAACCTGAGCACCTGGAGGAAACCCATGCAGATACAGGGAGAATGTGCAAACTGCACACAGACAGCAGTGTAAGCCTGCTTTCAATCCCGGGTCCCTGGCGCTGTGAGGCAGCAGTGCTAGCCACTAAGCTATCGTGCCATCCAAATATCTGAGCAAGGGGCCCAGCAATCACTTCCCTCACAGTTCTAGGATACATCTGATCAGGTTCCAGGCGTTTATCCATCTTTATGCATTTTTAAGATGTCCAGCACCTCCTCCTCTGTAATATAAATAGTTATATCTTGAAAAGTGTTTATTTCTCCAAGTTTTCTAGCTTCCATATCCTTTTCCACAGTACATACTGATGTGAAATAAACGTTTAGCATCGTACCCATTGCCTGCGTTCCTGCATATAGGCAGCCTTGCTGGTCTTTTAAGGGGCATAATACTATCAAAATTGGCCTTACTCCAATTTAGAACTTTAAGTTTTAGACAAGGTCTGTCCTTTTCCACAACTATTTTAAAACAAATAGAATTACGACCATGGGCCCCAAAGTATTCCCCTACTGATACCTCAGTCACCTGCCCTGCCTTATTTCCCAAGAAAAGGTCAAGTTTTGAGCAGGGATTAATAACATCAGTACAAAGAGCCCAAAGATCACAGTTCATTCCTTGATGTGAGTAAGAGCAAAATCCTTCAACTATGGTTCTTGGTGAACTTGCTGGTGTATTAACAGTTTGGATGACTGAGTGAATCCCTTTCCACACGTGGAGCAAGTGAATGGTCTCTCCCCAGAGTGAACTCGCTGGTGTCTCAGGAGGTTGGATGAGTGAGCAAATCCCTTCCCACACTCGGAACAGGTGAATGGTTTTTCCCCAGTGTGAATTCGCTGGTGTATCAGCAGGTCAATTGTCCGAGTGAATGCCTTCCCACACTCCGAACAGGCGAATGGTCTCTCTCCAGTATGAAGTCGCTGGTGTGTCAGAAGGTTGGATGAGTGAGTAAATCCTTTCCCACACTCGGTACAGGTGAATGGTTTCTCTCCAGTGTGAACTCGCTGGTGTACCAGCAGTTTAGATGAGCGAGTGAATCCTTTCCCACATTCAGAACAGGTGAATGGTCTCTTCCCAGAGTGAACTTGCTGGTGTTCCAGCAGGGAGGATGACTGAGTGAATCCTTTGCCACACACAGAACAGGTGAATGGTTTCTCCCCAGTGTGAACTCGCTGGTGTCTCAGCAGATTGGTTGATGAAGCGAATCCTTTCCCGCACACAGAGCAGGTGAATGGACTCTCCCCATTGTGAATTCGCTGATGTATCAACAGGCTGGATGACAAAGCAAATTCTTTCCCACACATGGAACAAGCGAATGGTCTCTCTCCTGTGTGAACTCGCTGGTGTTTCAGCAAGTGAGATGTCTGCATGAATCCTTTCCCACACACAGAGCAAATGAATGGTCTCTCTCCAGTGTGAACTCGCTGATGTTTGAGTAGGTTGGATGACTGAGTGAATCCCATCCCACAATCAGAGCAGGTAAATGGCTTTTCCCCAGTGTGACTGCGTTGGTGCATTTCCAGCTGAGATGGGTAAAGAAATCCCTTCCCGCAATCCTCACATTTCCACAGTCTCTCCCTAGTGTGACCGTGCTGATGTTTGGACATTTCTTCACAGACTCTTCCACACACAGATGATATGTGTTTCTCCCTGGTGTGAACAGTGCTTTTTCCTTCAATGTTCAAAATCCTGAAATAATTAGGTTATGACAAACAGAGTGACTGTCAGATCTGGATGTGGTTTTGTTTGATTTCGCTAATTGTAATCAAAATTTCAAACTGAAAATAAAAGTAGAGAGAGAGAGAAACCAGAAGAACACCCACCGGTTGTGAAACTCAGAGATTAATCTGATCAACTGTAGTGCCAACACTTAGGGAAACTGATGGATTATCAGTAAAACTGAACTGGTTCATAAATGTCCTTTAGGGAAGGGAACCAGTCAGTGTTTGCCCAAAACTACAGAAAAGGATAGAGTTTGGAGAAACAGGAAGGAAGGAGAAGCATTTTATACATCTACAACACAATCTAATTCCTGTTTTCTCTCCATACCCTTCAATCCCTCTGAAGGACAAAGAATAAGAAGCAAAATACTTGAAATCTGAAATAAAAACAGAAAATGATGGAGATACACAGCAAGTCTAGCAGCATCTAAAATAGTGACAGATGCAGGAACCATTGCAACCTTGGAGAAGTGTTTAGATGATAATCCGCTGCACTACAATATAGGTTACACACCTAGCGCCGGAAAATAGGACTAGCTTAAATAGGTGCTTGATGACCAGCACAGATATGATAAGGACAGTGTGTTCAACAATTTTACCTGAGTCTCTGACCCCATATTGTTCCGTGTTTCTCTGTGATTCTGTCTTTTGGGAAGCAGGCAGGAGCAGCAAGCAGTGAAGAATGCAAATGATACATTAGCTTTCATTGTGAGAGCATTCGAAAACAGGAGAAGGGATATCTTTCTATAAGGGCCTTGGTGAGACCACACCTAGAGTACTGTGTGTACCTTTGTTCTTTGTCCCCAGGGAAGGATGCCCTGGCTATTGAGAGAGTGCATCTCAGGATTGATGTATGAGGAGAGATTCGATCCTCATTTAATCCTTTCTTTTATCTTTCACCCGCTGACTACATCACTAACCTCCCATTTCCTGATCTGAGTCTGACACGTCTGAGCCTATACTTTGGTTCCTCTCCTCCTGCCGAACTAGTTTAAAATTCACCAATGGAACTGGCAAAAGCATCAACAAGAATATTTGTTCCAGCTCTGCCCTGGATAACTGGTCAGGCTTGTACAGGTCCCACCTTCCCAGAAACAGTCTCAGTGCCTCAGGAATCTAAACCCTTCTCTGGTACATAATTTCTGCAGCCATATATTCATCTCATCTGTCCTCTTATTCATGTTCTCACTTGCATGTGTATTGTAGCAGCCCATGACTAAGATGGCCGCCTGGGGCTTTTTAGCTGACACAAGATGGCCAAAAAGAATTGGCAGCCACATACAGATGTTCACAGCCAGACTTGTGATCTCCATATAGAGTTACTGGATTAGGTAATGAATGGTCCCGTGGGGGTCATAAAAGAATCCTGTTGAGAAGAAACATTAGGGAATTTACTTGGGTTTCTGTAAACAGGCAGTTTAAAACACATAAGCATTTTAATAAGAGGTATTTTTGAAACACCTTGTTAAGCCACATTCCCAAGTTTGTTACTTAGCAAAAAGTAGAAGAAAGAGACTGATCCTACAGTATTCTCAACTGTTTTGGTAACTGTAAGTTAGAAATGCAAACAACAAATTAATGTGAAAGGATTAGTTGAACTCCTTGAGCAAATGTTTGTCGGCAGTAAAAGAAGCTCACTGCATCGTTAGGGAAGAGAAAGCAATAAATGGTGTAAACAAACTCTAAAGGATCACCTGCACAGGAAGGGGGCAAAGAAAGGTTGTAAAAAGAGAGGCCAGGATTGCGGAGCTCAAGTGCAGATGTGGATAATTTGAACAAATACTTACATCCAAAGATCAAAGGAAGAGTGACAGAGATAGATTACAAAATACAAAGTAAAGATAGGTTATTTGTTAGTTATTTGTGGAATCTAAACAAGTTCTGTTTAATGGTTCGGTAAAGTTCTAAAGTAATTGGTCCTCATCCCTTTGTTTTCCTATGTCAGTAGTACCTATGTGTCCCATGACCATTGGCTGTTCACCCTCCCATCCAGAATATCTTGCAGCTGCTTCATGACATCCCTGATCCTGGCACCAGGGAGGCAACGTACTATCCTGGATTCACGTCCGTCTGTACCCCTTACTATTGAATCCAGTATCACTATAGTCATGCTGCTCGTTTTCCTCCCCTTCTGTGCAGCAGAGCCATCTGAAGTGCCATGAACTTGGCTGATGCTGCTTTCCTGAGTAGTCAACCCACCACCCCGAAACAATACCCAAAATGGTATATCTGTTTGAGAGGGGGATGATGACTAGGGATTCTGGCACTTCCCTCCCGCTCATTCCCTTTCTGTTGGTGTAATCCACACTTGTTGTGTGATCAACCCGTCAAACGTGCTATCACAACATTTTCAGTATTGTGGATGTTCTGTCCTGGTTCCACCCACAGGTTCAGCTCTGAAAAGCAGTTAGCCAGTAGCTACAGATGGACACACTTCCTGCACGCGTAACAATAAGGGACACTGGAAGAATCCCTTATTTCCCACATTGCGCAAGAGGAGTGCACCATGGGTCTGAGGTCTTTTGTCATGGTTTCTCTCCAGATTAAGCTAGTTTCTCCCTTTAAGATAATTTAATTAAGCTAGGACCTCTCCCTTCATTTCAGGCACTTCTATTATAACCAAAAGTCCCTAACTTTATTTAAGCTGATATATTCTTTAAAAACCAGAAGAAAATTCTGTTTCCATTAAGACCATGTGACTTTCTAAACTGCCCAAACTGAGACTGAGCTCCATACTAAATCTTTCAGCTTCATTTCCTCCCTGTCTAACCTCATTCTGTTTTCACCCAACTCTAAAGCACTCTCATTCAGCCAAGCAGCAGTCAGTGCAGCCTTGTCATTTTCATTGTCTCCTCACACCCACTCTGACCTCAGTCTCCTGTACTGTTTCAATCCACTTCAACGGGAGCTCAGGCAACAGCAGCTCATCTTTCAATTCAGTAATTTATAACCCTCTGTACTCAACATGGACTTCAGCAGTTTCAGGATCAACAGAGAGTTGTCAGGATCTGGAACATTCCACCTGAAGAGGTGCTGGAATTCAAGTCCATAAGGAATTTTAAAAGGAAGTTTGCAGGTATTTGAGAATGAGGTGTTTATGAGACAAAATCATGAAGTGGGTGATTGGGATTAAATATGACTGTTCCTTCAAAGAGACAAGGTGTTATTTGGATAAATCTGTCCTCCCTCTCAGGTCAATATCTCCTTTCTCAGCTGCAGCGCTTAGAACTGAGCACAAAAACCAGGGGGGACATAACCAAAAATTTGAATATCTTGCTGCTTTTCGAGTTACAAACATATCAAAAATAATTTCCCACAGATAGAACAGACAAACCTCTTTCCTTCCACAGTTAAATGCCACGGATTTTCAGATCCTGATGACTCTGCTTGCTGTCGAAACTTGCTTTGAGATCCCAGTCTGCAAATTATTCTCAATTAATATCCCGTAAAACGAATTCATTCACAAACAAAAAATCACTATCAGCCCAGAATAGAAATCTAGAAACCAGGCAAGATTGCCTAGAAATGACAAAACATTTCTCTTTTTTTCACTTTGCTATGTGTAAATCCTCCTCTTCAAATCACCCCCATTCCCCAACCCAGAAAGATGTAGAGTTAAATTACACCCATTAGAAAATGAGAAAGTCACATATTGACAAAGAGTTGATCAAGGATCAGAAAGGTGAATCAGAGCAGTTTCGGTGTTCTGATCCCAATTATATGAACACCAGACAGACGGATATGGTTTGATAGATTATAACCTTTAAAACAAGGCTTCCTACGATGAGACTACAATAGATAGGGCGGTATGGCAGCTCAGTGGTCAGCACCACGGGCCCGGGTTCGATTCCACCCTCGGGCAACTTTCTCCCCGCGTCGGCGCGGGTTTCCTCCCACAGTCCAAAGATGTACAGGTTAGGTGGATTGGTCATGCTAAATTGCCCATAGTGTCCAGGGATGTGTAGATTAGCTAGGTTATTGGGGGATGGGTGTGGATTTGTTGGTCCGAAGGGCCTGTTTCCACGCTATAGGGATTCTATGATAACGTGTAGCTCTGAGCGAATTACGGGTATTTCTAAAGTGTAACAGCAGCAATTATTCTGCCTCAAGCCAGTACTCTGTCAACGTCAAATGCTCAGTTCATTTCCCACCCGTTTTCCATTTTTGTACCTTCCGTGAGTAACCGAGCTCCAGCCGCAGCGATAATGCGCCTGCGGACAAAGGCGACCACGTGATTTGCACTATACCCACCCATCACTCTCTCCGATTGGTTGGAGAACAAGCTGCTGCCGTTGGGTCCTCCAGCTCCGCCCTCTGCCTTCCTATTGGACCGGAGCTGACGTCAATCACATGGGCTCCCACGGCGAGCTGAGGCATGTTTAGTGCATGCCCCTCTTGCTGTGCATCATCAGCGCAATTAGGGAATACATTGTGAGATTGGACAGAAATGTATCAAAGATAGTAGGAACTGCAGATGCTGGAGAATCTGAGGTAACAAGGTGTAGAGCTGGATGAACACAGCAGGCCAAGCAGCATCAGAGGAGCAGGAAGGCTGACGAAGGGTCGAAGGCCCGAAACGTCAGCCTTCCTGCTCCTCTGACGCTGCTTGGCCAGAAATGTATCAATGCTGATTCTCTTCATGTTAAGCGATTACAACTACAACAACTTGCATTTTATTGAACCTTTCACATTGTCACTGTCACAAGGTGCTTCACAGATGATCAAAACGTTAATTACAGATATGGGTTTATATTGTAAAGACGAAGAGAGAAGTTCAGGGAGGAAATTCCAGAGCTTGTGTCCAATCTTGGAGTGATGTAAGTGAGGTGGGTTGGAAAAGCTATCTAGAAAGGGGGATAAAAGAACTGCAGACGCTGTAAGTCAGAGGCAAGAATAGAAATTGCTGGAAAAGCTCAGCAGGTCCGGCAGCAAGTGTGGAGAGAGACCCTTCTTCCGAACTCTGCAGATGCTGCCGGACCTGCTGAGTTTTTCCAGCAATTTCTATTTTCATCTAGTAAGGAGAATTGTAGGAGTGCATTGGGTTTTAAGGTTGGCGAAGATTCCAGAGACTGTCATAGAGAGTACTGCTGCCTCGTGGAGATTGATGTGTGGCGCTGCAATGGGTACATGCAAGCTACGTCCACAATGGTACAGAAGATTTCTACTGCTGTGAACAGGTGACAGATCTTGCAACGGTGGGCTTACAAAATGTCACTGATCGCCAGGTAATGATGGGGTGCTGCTAAAGGAAAGGGGGCAGGGAACAGGGAATTCCACACAAAGCTCTCCCTCCTTCTCACTACTTTCACCCCCAAACTGAGGGAGTACCTGACACACCACCTCTATCTCCCGTCACAACACAATGTCCCACAATGGCTGTATTTGGCCCTGCATAAGTAGAAGTGGAACAGTCATTACCAGAACATTCTGGGGCTCTGAAACTCTGAGTGAAGAGCAAAGGCATCTGAGCAGTGACAGCAGAAATTTGGAAGACTGTTTCCACCTTTGCTGAAACCCACAAAGTGCACCAGATTTAAAAAAAGACAATGAGAAGGATCTGGACTACAAAATGTAATTGATCAAGTGTGTGCTCACATTGGGCGAGGCAGGATGGGGGATTGAGCTGACGAAATGTTCAGTTTCCTTAGCTGGACAATCCAAGATGGAGGAAAGGAAAATTGTGGCTGTAAGGACTGTTCCTGTTTTGAGGTATTTTCAGTATTGGAACTGATTTCCTCAAATTCTGGGAGCAGTAATTATTGTTTTATAACCTGTTGCATTGTTTTGGAACTTTGGGAAAAAAGAGTTTAAAACAATGGCACTTTCAAGAGAAGGAAGACAGACAAAGGTAATGACCACATGGGAAGTGAATCAAACAGAAATAAACTTATACTGCTGTGTAACCCAGCAGTGAATCTGCACAGCTGACTGTTCTGCTGTTTCATTACAAGTGTCTCTCGACATCAGAGTTTGACTAAGAAAAATTAACCAACAGCAAAATTCACAGCTGACCTTGGAGAAACCTGTGTGGGAGAGCTCACAGCAGAGGAGCAATTAAGTGGCTTTTTAAAGTGTAACATAACTTTTTTTTAAAAAATGTAGAATAGTGAGTAGGGTGGGTTCCTTTTTGATTATAGGTTTTATTTAGATCTGTCTCTTGATTAAACTTTAAAAATATAAAACATGAGTACTCAGTTAGCCTGGAGCAGTGTTTTTTATAGCAGTGAGAGTGGGTTATTTTGTTGGTCTGTAGATTGTTAAGGTGCAAAGATGGCCTTTAGTAGAGTCATGTGCTCTTCCTGTCAGATGTGGGAGAGTAGGGAGAGTTTCCATCTTACAGATGATTATGTCTGCAGGAAGTGTGCTTGGTTGCGAATCCTTTCGGATTGCATGGATCGGTAGGAGTGGCAGTCAGAGGCAATGAGGAATTTACAGGAGCTGGAGGTGAGACAGATGGCAGTTGCAGGAAGGGAGAAAATTGAAGATACAGTCAGGTAGCTGGGTGATGTCCAGGAAAGGTAGGAAAGGGAGGCAGGTAGTGTAGGAGCCTCCTGTGGCTATCCCTATCTCACACAGGTATGGTTTTGAAAAATGTAGGGTTTGATGGACTTTCAGGGGAATATAGCACTGATCGTACTGAGGCTAGCTCTAATGTAACAAGGGGTACATCAGGTTCTAAGCGATTAGTTGTGATAGGAGACTCTCTAGTGAGAGGCACACACAGATGATTCCGTGGCTGACAATAGTGTGTTGCCTTCCTAGTGCCAGGGGGTCAAGGATATCTTGAGAGGGTGCAGAATATTCTCAATTGTCATTGTACCAGCAGGAAGTCATTGTACACATTGGAACTGATGGCACAGGAAGAGAAAAGGATGAGATTCTGGGGAGAGAATATAGGAAGTTAGACAGGAATTTTAAAAAGTACCCTCAAGGATGTCCTAATGTCTGGATTGCTCCCGTTGTCAGAAGCTAGTGAGGATAGGAATAGGAGGATAGAGCAGATGAATGTGTGGCTGAGAAGATGGTGCAGGGGAGATGGATTCACATTTTTGGATCATTTGAATCTCTTCTGGGGTAGATGTAACCTGCATAAGAAGGATGGATTGCACCTGAATTGGAAGGGAACTAATATACTGGCAGGCAGATATGCTGGAGCTGCTGAGGAGAATTTAAACCAGTAAGTTGGGGGGGGGGGGATATGGGATCCAGGGAGATGGTGAGGAAAGAGATCAGTCTGAAACTGATACAGCTGAGAAAAGGAACAAGTCAAACAGTCAGGGCAGGCAGGAACAAAGCAGAGAATGAGGTTGAACTGATAAATGAAATTGCATTTATTTCAATGCAAGAGACCTAACAGACAAGGCAGATGATCTCAGGGCATAGTTAGGAATTTGGGACTGGGACACCGTAGCATTTACAGAGAAATGGTGCAGAGATGGACAGGACCGGCAGCCAAATGTTCCAGGATCTCGATGCTATTGGAAGGATCAAAAGCAGGGTAAGGGGGGGCGTTGGCGGGGGGTGGGGGGAGGGGGGTTGGTGGCAATTTTCATCAGGGATAAAATTACAACTGTATTTAGGCAGCGTATTCCTGGGACTATGTGCAGGGAAGTAATTTGGGTGGAACTGAGAAATGAGAAAGTGATGATCACCTTATTGGGATTGTACTGTAGACACCTCCCCTCCACCCCCTCGCCCCCAGTAGTCAGTGGGAAATTGAGAAGCAAATTATTAAGAAGATCTCAGTTCTCTGTATGAATAATAGGGTGGTTATGTTAGGGGATTTTAAGTTTCCAAACATAGACTGAATCTGTTAAAGGCTTGGATGGACAGGAATTTGTTATGTTTGTACAGGAACATTTTCTGATTCAGTAATGTGGATGTACATTCCATATGCGTACAACCCGCTGTGTAAAAAAGTTGCCCCTCAGGTTGCCATGTATTCTTTCCCACCTTACCTTAAACTGATGCCCTCTAGTCCTCAATTCCCCAACCCTGGGAAAAAGACTGAGTGCATTCACCCTAGCCATATCTCTCAAGATCTTATAGGGAACATAGGTGGTATGGTTAGTAGGTTTGCAGATGACACCAAAATTGGAGGTGTAGTGGACAGCAAAGAAGATTTCCTCAGAATACAACGGGATCTTGATTAGATGGACCAATGGACTGAAGAGTAGCAGATGGAGTTTAATTTAGATAAATGTGAGGTGCTGCATTTTTGAAAGGCATATCAGGGCAGGACTTATACACTTAATGGTAAGGTCCTGGGGAGTGTTACTGAACATAGAGACTTTGGAGTGCAGGTTCATAGTTCCTTGAAGGCGGAGTCTGAGGTAGATATGATAGTGAAGGCAGCATTTGGAATGCTTGCCTTTATTGGTCAGTCCACTGAAGAAAGGAATTGGGAGGTCATATTGAGGCTGTACAGGACATTGGTTAAGCCACTTTTGGAATACTGTGTGCAGTTCTGGTCTCCCTGCTTTTGGAAGGATGTTGTGAAACTCGAAAGGGTTCAGAAAAGATTTACAAGAAAGTTGTCAGGGTCGGTGGGTTTGAGCAACAGGGATAGACTGAAAGGCTGGGGCTATTTTCTCTGGAGCATCAGAGGCCAAGGGATGACCTTATAGATGCTTATAAAATCATGAGGGGTATGGATAGAATAAGGTCTTTTCCCCAGGATGGGAGACCAAAACTAGAGGGCATAGGTTTAAGGTGAGAGGGGAAAAATTCAAAAGGGACCTAAGGGGCAACTTTTTCACGCAGAGAATGGTGTGTGTATGGAATGAGCTGCCAGAGAAAGTGGTGGAGATTGGTACAATTACAACATTTAAAAAGGCATCTGGATGGGTATATGAATAGAAAACATTTCGAGGAATATGTGCCAAATGCTGGTAAATGGGACTAGCTGTATCTAGGATATCTGGTCGGCATGGATGAGTTGGATCGAAGAGTCTGTTTCGATGCTGTACATCTCTATGACTCTATGACTCTTTGTTCAAGACAGTTTTCTTCATCAATATATAAATGTTCCTACCAGAGAATGAACGAACAGGACATTGCAAGACCACATCTGATACAGCTTTGATACTCTAAACTAAAAAAAGGCATAATTGCTTTAGAAGTTTCCCTTTCCTCATTCCTGGAATGAAGGCCTTTTGTTATGAAGGATTGTCAGTTTAGGTCTTAGATGAGAAACCTTATTGAGCCATGCATCATTTTGAGAAAAG